AGACAGACAGACAGACAGACAGACAGACACAGTGTTAGCTTGACATCAGTCTGAGCAGCTCAGAGATTTGTTTGTGCCCTGGCATGAATCCAGCTCTGCAGGCAACTTTTTGTGAAAAATGGTCAAAGGCTTTTGAGTGACATTGCTCTTAGTCAACTCAAATTTTTGGTTATTGGCAAAGTCAATCCAAAAACAATGACACACAGGCATGTGCAGCTTGTCTCTGGTTTCTGTATCTCTGTAAATTGAACATTCAGATTTTTGGAGCTCTGGTCAAAATAAACAAGCTGGAACCAGTTCGGACGCTGTCGTTATCTCTGTGTGTGTGCTGACCTGCAGTGCAGACAGCAGGTTGCTGGTCTCTCTCAGACGAGCCCTGGTAGCGTCCAGCTCCTCCAGCAGTTTGTCCTGCGCCTCCTTCAGGGTGGAGATCTGTCCCTCGGCTGTCCCCATGTCCTGCTCCCCCTGCTGCAACTTCCCCTGCAGCCGAGACACCTGCGTGAAAGACAGACGCACGACCAGACAGCGTGAGACAGAGGGAACCAACAACAACAACCTATCTGAGAGTGGCAGCAGCCTTGAAACTACATCAGCAGTTTATGCTCAGCAATTTCCATCAAAAAAAAAAAAAAAGCTTTCAGTGACTTCAGGCTCATGTTCTTTTTGCCAACGTGGCAACATGGTTCTTTTAAAATTCATTAGATATTTATTTACCTGGATGTGAAAAGTACAGGACAAATGTGAACATGGAGGGAAAAACACCAAACATGTGCAGGAAACATTTGTTCACAGAGGAAAAAAGTGGGGAAAATAGTTTTCAGTAAAATAATCAGAAACCTGTTAACAGCTCCAACTCATGAATATTAACGTTTTCATTCCACCCAGTGTGTTAGCGTGTCCTTTAAGTAAGTTGGGAGCTGCATATTAACAAGTGACCCGGGCCTCGTTGTTCAGTATGACTGTTTACCTCATCCGTCAATATAAACACTGATTATTATTCAAGTCAGGAGAACTTGATTAGCAAGGAGCTCAGGACTCCGACTCTGGTTTCTGTAAGTGTTAGAGGTGACATTCACAACAAGAGGCTAAGAGTTGTGACTCATCAGTTTTCCGCCACTGTTCTTCAAATGCACAATGAGTCAGTCATTCTAAATCCACAGGTTCGGGCCTCGTACCTCCTCAGTGGCCGCGGTGAGTTTGGAGGTCAGCTCGTCCTTCAGCTCGTCCAGCTGCTGCCTGAGGAGCGTCTTGTGCTCCTCCAGTTGGAGGCGCTCTCTCTCAAACTGCTGCTCCAGCTCCTGCGGAGACAAAATCAGAAACGTCAACGTCAAAAGTGATGTTTCCTGGGGTCTTCAGGTAGCACCTCCCCACCCAGTGAGGAGTCCCTCCTCACGTCCCTCCTCTCCTGATCCACAAGCCTGCTGCCTCTATGGCTCTAACCCTACTGGTCCCTCTGATTACGGAAGTGGCTAAACATCTTAAAGCCCCAAACAGCAGCCCCGTTTTCCTTTTGCTGAATTTTAGGGATCACTTAGAAGAACAGCGATGACTTGACTAAGACCTTTGACCCTGTTATTGTGTTAAAGTCCGAATATTGAAGTCCGAAGGGTCAACTTCCATTCTGTGACATCAGCTCCGAGAGCGTGAACTCAAATCGCTCGAGCGTTATAACCTCGGCCGTGGTGAACATCCACATTCTCTCTCCTCTTTGTCTGATATCACATTCGCTGCCTTCATCCGTACAAATTTCCTAAAAATACTTCAAACCATCTCATTGTCCTTGAGAGAGAGCAGAGAAAGAGCTTTTTTCTTTTTTTTTTGCATTGTGACGATAATAAGTCTTATTATGGCTCCTGATGAATGGAGAACGATTTCTGTTATACTGAGCAATGACTGCTGCTTTCCAAGGACAATTACAGCCGAGGGAAATTGTTGTCACATGAAATGTTCCACTATTATTCATTGTACAGGAGCATGGAGTTTGTCATGCTGTAAAAAAACATTCAGCGTATTGACGACTGTGACACAGTTCCATACTAATGAATGGGACTTTGCAGGAATTGATCTGAATGGAGAACAGAATGAAAAATCACAGTAATTTGTGTGAAATGCCTCCTGACATGTGAATGTGATTTCTTTGTACCAAAGAACTTGAAACAGCTCCAAAAAAAAAAAAAAATCCTGACGCAACCATGGACGAGAGTTTCCGCCTCGCAGTTGTGCGCTCCTGCCACCAAGTCAAATCAAGTTCACGGCCACGTCTGTCCAGGACCAATGTGATTTATGCAGCTTATTAGGTGTAATTTAATCGTGACTTCATTATATTTGGTGTTTCAGTAGAGCAACAAACATTCTAATCAGCTCGTCCATCGATGCGGACATGTGTGTGCCAGGTGTATTTAAAGGTCCAGAAAGATTTAAGTGAAAGGGATATTGAATGTAGATTAATCCTCATGATGTTTTCACTAGTTCGTTTAATCTAAATTGTATGAATTGTAGTTTTCTTTCCCCCAGAAAAGACCTTTTATATTCAAATACTTTATATTTACATGGAGGGGACCCTCTCTACGGAGGCCGCCATGTTTTTTACATTAGCACAGACTGAACAAACTAAACACCTTTTGAGTTTTTATGACAACTGAAGTCTTCCACAGTTTATTTTTCATGTTTGGAGGGAGAGGGTGAGGTGAGGGGTGTTCAGCTGCAACATGACACTTCAACACTAGATGTCACTAAATTCTACACACTGCACCTTTAAATTCCGTTCAGGTGATTGAGGCTAGTTTGAACTTTGACCATCGAATCTCATCCTTGATTCCAAGTGGATTCTTTTGCCATGAAATTCCATCAAAGTGTTCCTACACATATATTTTTGTTAATATGTGAAAAAAAAAATCCATTGGTGTAAATCGTTATTATCGCGTGAGCTGACCTCCGCCAGCCTGATGACATCAAGGACACGTCAGAAGGAATCTTCTAGTCAATGGTCAATCGAGAAACAGACGGTCAGAGGGGGAAGAATCTAATATGAGACATCAGGATTCATGTCGTACCTTGTGACTCGATTTAGAGGGCGAGGCCGTGGTGGAGCCAAGCCATTCATTTAAATTCCGAACCCCGGCTTCTCACAGACAACTCTCATTACAATTTAAAGTGATGAAAGGAGCAGAGGTGATGAAAGAAGAGATGATTAATGTGATGAAACTTAGATCAGACAAAAATAATCAAGTGATGACGAAAAGAGATGAAGACTCGTCTGTCCTGAGATTCTGCAGAAGAGATATAAAACAGATGAGCAGCAGCAGTGAATGAATGAGAAGTGAATGAGTGCTGCTGCTCGACCTCCTCCTCCTCCTCCTCCTCCTCCTCCTCCCTGACAATCTTTACAATGGGGACATTTCTGCAGCAACATTGACAGCAAGGACCCGGAGTGAACAATTAGAAATGACTGTGCAGATCAGAGCTCAGCGGGCGGAAATATGAGGCCATGGAAATCATACAAGGGCATATACGAGGACTCCTGCATATGGGATGCATATCTAATAACTATGGAAATGTAAAACGCTCTTCTCTTAATGCAGCTGTCAGCTCTGATCAGGTCTTCTGCAGAATATTATTTAAAACAAGTCCTCATTATGCAACTTTGATGCAAGGGAATACTTGATTACTTGCTTTCACATGGCTGTGTGTGCCTGGGATAAGGGACTCTGCGGAGATCAGGCATCATCACGAGGCTATTTCAGGCCGGTGGAACCGTGCGCCTCGGCTGCAGCCAAATTGGCAGCAGGCTGTGGTTTGGAACAGCGAGACCACCAGGCTCATTAAACTGGTCCCAGGGCCCACTTTGAAATCCAGGGGGGCATTTTTAGTATCTCACATCAGACACAAAAATCATCACGATGCTGAAATCTGGGTCTGAACTTCTGTTATTGTTGAATCTGTTTTGTTCTATCACATCCCACTGGTCCATCGATCAACAAACATTTAAAGCAGGAAACGATAAAGGTTTTAAAAATGGGGCGACACAAGCAAGTTATTTGTTGGACCTCAGAGATTCACACAATATATTTCAGTGAAGAGCGCTGAAGGAAAACATAATTGATTAATGGAAATTTCCACAGGGTACTTTCAGTTTCTATAATTTATGTACAGTCACATGTTTTATTTGTGCTAAAGGCTCTAGCAGGAAAATGAAACTTAATGAATACAACAATTAAAATAAAAATAAACACCAGAATATAACAATAATTCTGGAATTAATATTATTAAAGCTGTACTCTGGGATGTTGTTGACTTGGACCAGATAATATTGAAATTGGTTTTGAATATACTGTCAAATACAGTATAAAGACTCAAAACCACACAACATAATGAAATCTGATGCATCCAAAGCTACAGGAGAATATTTTTCTTGTATTGAATATTAAGAAAACACGTCGGTGTTAAAGGATTTCTCTTCTGCTTTAGCACATTTCTAGAATTTGTCTCTTGAATCTGAGAATTTCAGGGTTTTCTGGTTCATGTTCAAATAAAAACATTTCATTAAATAAATGTCGCCATATTCTAATAATGATCTGAATCGAGCGTGTTCTTCGAGAGGAATTCACATAAATCGATTTTGACGATGAAGAGAATAATCTCACATGTTCTCTGCTAACGTGAGTTAAAAACATATAGAATATGCAGCGGACAAGCAGAGTCAAAGAGCCCTCTGAGAAATGGCTGTATGCCGTATGGACGCGCTTAAGCCCGGCCAACAAACTGTGCTAAGTAAGTAGCAGTGAAATATTTATGGAGGAACTTTTAGAAACACACACAAACGTTGGGCTCCCGAGTTCTGCTCCTTCTCCGTCACATCATTTTGTTCTAATTTTGATGACTCTACTCCCCACTTGCACTTTTATGTGCAGTAAATGTCATCAGTTTATAGTAGGGCGGTGAATTTTAATCTGAGTGTCCCTCACCCTTTTAAATGTCAAACTCCACACCGCACTCCAAGACTCAATTTCCTGATTTTGGTGCTTAAAATAATTAGTCGCAGCCATCTTGTCTTTATTTGAAAAATATATCGAGGAGACGTATTCTGCTCATATTCAGGTTCATAATTTTGATATGTGTTATTACCGTGAAATGTTTACAAGCTCAGAACACACATCACTTTCCTCAATCTGTCATACTTACGCAGTTAAACCAACAAATCATAACTTCACAGAGAGTTTCCGGCCTCTCATGTAGGAAGTGTGTTCATCTAATGACACACTGAAGCTGCAGCGTAGGTTTGTGTGCAGCAGAGCGTTAGCTTTAGAGCGTCAGCGCCCGCTAACCCATCCCACCTGTGTGACTCACCACAGCTTCTCCACGTGACTCAGCCGCCACATCTCTGAACTTTGTTTTCATTGACAATTTCTTTCCTATTTGTCTTTTTCTAACTTTCTGTCCCTGACAGAAGCGCCCCCCC